TGATGGTAGTGCTAGCGCAGGCAATTGTGTGGTTTTACATTTTTTCATTGTTTGTCAGACACTTAACTAATATACGACTCCTTTATAAAAACACATTGACTTTTGACTTTGAATACAAAAGTAGTTATTATCGCCTAGTGCATCATTCTTGCTAATTAAAATTGTCGGATCACTACTCGACTGTTGTTTTAGTTGAAACATTCATCTTTACTTTATACAATAAAAGAAACTAGTGCAAATATGTGTAAATAAAACTTAGGAGTCTCAAGTTGAAACACACGTTAGCTCTCAATAAATAAAAAATCAATAAAAGAACAAGTTTTTTAAATCATAAACAGCTCTGATAATCATGTTTACAAACACCACAACACTTGGAAATCCTTTTTTTGCAATAATAAAAAAAACCTTTTGTTGATCGGCCAAATTGAGTTATTTTAACAGGTTCGTCGCCGTTTTGAGTCTTTTTAATTTGATATCGAAAAACCACTCAACAGAGTTTAGTGAGTGATTTTTTAATGATGCTGTGACACGTGAAACTTAGAATCTATACAATTTTTAGCCAAAAGCTTTGATTTTTCTGCATTAGTATAACTTTGGGCGGAAAATGTTATTATTCAATTTTTTAAGAGTAAGTCATTAAATGCAATGATTAAATTGATCACTTTATTTTAATAACCTTTTAATACTCGTTATGAATTGATCAATTGATTGAACGGGCCCCGTGCTCAAGAGGTTAATCGTCTCAATTAGAATTTAAATTATTTCGTGGCCGAATTTATTGTTCAAATTGGCAATTAGCATGGACCGCATTTAGTAATAATAGTTTCTTGCAAAATCGTTCAAGGTCGCGATCGATGAACATTGCTTCGGAATTGGTAGTGCTATTCATTGGGTGAATTTTTGATATTTATACAATGGAATGCGTATAATGTGCGTACATCCAAATGCAAAAAAAATTAAATCCTATTAAAGTCAAATAAAAAAGTAGTAAAAAATATTATGCAAGAACATTAACATTACTTAAGATTTCTGTTTAAATTTTTTTCGATCTGCATTCAACTACTTTGTTAGCAGTGTTTATGTTTTCAGGTATTAACATGCAACTACACAGGCAATGCAGCGATGATTGCGGCCGTTTCATTGATACGACTTCCAACACACATATCAAGCATGTGGCATTGTATTCATGTTGTGTACAATATGAGCCAGTTTTATGTACCTAACCACCAATCGCATGGCCAAATGGAATACAAAAAAAACAGATTTGCCATTCAAAAAAACTTCATATTTTAACATCTGCAACGATTTGTAATTGTCAGTATGCGTTGAGCGTTGAAACGGTATGTAACGGTAAAACAGTGAATGTAAATATTTGGATTAGTGTTTATCGTCCATCACTTTTATAAGAATTGGTTTTCGTCGTATTGATACTTTAAGAAATTATGACTATGTTGATTTAAGTGTAGAGAAAATATTATTTGAAAGTAATTTTTTTGCGGAAAAAAGTGAACGTTTAAAAAGATATGTTCATTTTTTTATTTGTTAAACAGTTAACATTTCTAACTGAAAGTAATTATTGACCGTAAGCCGGCCAGACTCGAATGATAAACTATACTGACCTGGATCAATCGAACCTTAGTTCTTACTACAGAAATATGCATTTTGAAATTTAAATATTTTGTATTCGATCGATATTTTCTCATTTATGTCGTGGAGTTCTGTATACATATTTCTCTCATGTTGCTCTATAACAAATATTCTTGAAACAAAAATGATTAAAATCATACATTAAAAAAATGCAGTCACAGTGACAGGTGTGAAATAATGTGGACTAAATGAAACATTTTATTGTGAAAATCGTATGAGTTCCTTATTTTAAAACATCGATTTGAATTCTGTTTAAATCGGTATAATTGACAAAAAATCAAGTGCTTTCCGTTTTTGGTTCAAAATCGCTAATTGGCATGCAAGAGTGGGTCCCTCGTCATACACAGAAAACTGCAAAGCTCATAAGGCATTTGGTGTTTTTATCGATTATTCCATACCACAAATCATTACGAAATTCAACTTCGGGGTTAACAATGTTGATAAAATGGTTTTGTTTTTATTTGAAAATGTACGGCGTGCGCTATTATTAATAATAGAAGCTATTTGTAAAACAAAAGAAACTAGACAAATGCTGAGAATGTCTGCCCGGATGAATTACAATAGCGGTGCAATGAAATTTGTTTGCATAAACCCATTGTAATGTTTATATTTCTTATTCAAATCTCATCCGCCCTTGAAACTAATTACAGTTTGTCGTTTGTCCAAAAGAAGAAAAGCGATATGTTGACCTGTTCGAAATAAAAAAAACTTATCTTTGATGTAATGTTATGTTCGGACACGATATTATCTAATGAGATAAGCAGTATGCGTGGAACAAGTGGCGTTTCAACAATCATCACATGATATTCTATTATTAAAAACATTGTTGTAATTTGTTCAACTTTTGATATCATATTTTTCTACTTCGGTATCAAAAGACACGATTTCGGTGTTAAAACAGTTCATGGATTTTTTTTATTAAATTTGCAAAATATAAAGATTTTCTACGGCCCTGGCTTGATGTACACATAAAATAGTCAAATGTTTACCGATAAAATCATCACTTGCCGTAAAACAATTTATTAGAAACATTTATGAAATATAACAATGTCAATTAGAGATATGACGAAAAGTTTTGGTTGGAAAATGGACATAATTTATTTTAAGTTTCTGAAATGATGAAATTTATTTCTTTATTTAATTTTATGACATCTTCTATGTATTTGGAAATGTTTTTTATGAGAATCGGTACTATTTTTGCAGGCACGTTTTTTGCGCCTGTTTAAGTGAAGCACTTTCGTTTTGAATATATGCCTTACAATGTTGTTCCCTCGTAAATAGAAATTATGGTTTGCGTGACTCGAACAAAATTTATCTCATATTCAATTAGATGTTATCGAAAGAGTAGTCTTTCATTACACATGCAAGCATCGGACCACGGAGTTAAAAGAAACTGATTGCGCAAAACTTCAAGCAATAAAAAAATCTAATCTTGTGGACATGATCTATAATGCTAAGAAAATGCGTTTACAAGTCGATTTACGAGCACTTTGTAACAGGTTTCATAGAAACTTATATTACATTTGCAATAAATATTGTGACACCGCTAAGCACCCATTTTACAAAAATTGACTTACCAACTTACAAACGGGTTTGCTTGACAGAATTTTATGTGACCAGTTTATTGCGTGGTTGAAAGTGCAACCAAAATCGGTTAATTCTTTCTCTGGAGCAAAGCATTCTGAAATAATTTCACAATGAAGTAAATATTAGCCACTTGTTCCACGAAATTACAAAAGAAAAATCTGGCGAAGGCCGAACATTCTACTTTGGAACAAGTTTTTTATCACCAAGAAGACAAAATTTCGTTCAAATGAACAAAAAAATACAGAGAGCTGTCAAGCAGATGCCATTCACTTTCTGCTGTAATTTCGGTTTTTCGATGCACAAACGCGTAACATGCCCTTATTTATGGTTAACAGTTAACACACATAGTGGCCGCTTGAATTTTGTGATGCGGTAATGCATATTATGCATGAAAAACTTTAATAACAATGTATGAAATTTATAACAATTGCATAGTTCAAAAATGGTGTTTCTTTCTTGACACGAATCAACACTGTGATTTAGTTATTTAATCTTCAATAAAAATTTGTATTAATTTATTTGAAATGATTATTTTGGTATATTTATTTCAAATAAATGAGACACACAAGTGCAAAAAGAGTTAATGGCAATTTAATCGACAAAATCAATAACTTTTCAAATCATATTATGTAAAATAAATCATTTCACGTTTGGACGTTTATTCAATCAATATAGTAGTGATTTTCCTTTTTTTAAAAACCTTGAAGCATCAGTGAAAATACTTCGTACCATTTACCAAATCTTGAGTTAACAAGTTTTCTCGTCTTCTTCATTGACCTCGGATCAATCGAATCAAAAAGATGTTGAAAGATTTCTTTTATATGGAAAAATATTTTGTTTTCTCTTTGCAGATAAGAATTCACCGTAAAGATGTTGTGTACGAGAGAATATTTGCTGTTTTTCGTGGCAGTGTTTAGTTTACTGTTATCAAATGTTTTTTGTGATTCTCATCTATATCAGCCACATGAGACCGAAGTGATACATAATTCACATTTACCACTTCAACCTGAATTGGTGAGAGTGTTCGAAAACTGTCACAAAAAGTCCGGCACATTCGATCTCTGTATAAAGAATGCATTCAACGAGCTAAGAGTATACTTCAAAAGTGGTAAGTTTAATACATTTTTTCGAACAAAAAAGAAACATGATGTGGTGAAAATAAGACTCCCCCGAAAATATCTCTCAAGCGCTTGTCCATTCCACTGATTCTATAAATGTGTATACAAAGCCAAGTTTATTATATGAATGTCGTTGCTACACAAAAGCAAAATCAAAATGTGTATGTAGTGGTAAATTGAGCTGAACTATTGTAATTCAGAGATGAATTCTATATTAAGTGAACCGTTCGACCTGCATCACGTAAGTATAAAAGTTGTCGGTCGTATATGTGCAATGATTTTCTTGTGCTCACATTTATATTTGGTATTTACAAGCAAATTGTCACCTTTGCACATTAATCAATTTCCATATTCGATGAGTTCGAATCGAAGCTGAGTGAGGCATTTATGTACAATGAAAATAAAGAGCAATGACGCAGCCAAATGACTTTGACTCAATTTCTTCAAGTTGCTTTGAAACTGAGCTTTATAAAAAGTTATGATATTTTTTAGGTTTCCCCAACATTCATATCGCTCCGTTCGATCCACACAAATCGCCACACGTAAGAGACCATTTTAAACGATCTATTCACGTCTGATTTTCAATATCAATATGTATGCACTACTAATTCATGTACTTCATTCACATCGACCTCGATGCAATTTTTGCTGTGTCATTCCATACATATTGCATGTCTTCATATTTATATCTTAATCATTTGTATTTCATTAAGGTGGAGCAAAGACGCGGAACTACGTTTGCAAGTGGAAGTGGCTATCGATTGATTCTAAGGCATGTTTCGGAATACGGATGGACGAATTCCAAAGTCACGAAATATAGGTTTGATTCTTTTTTTCACAAAAGAAAAACAATTTATTACATAAATCTAATTCAAAATTATGTTATTTTCAGAACGGATTTTGAAAACAATCGAATAATCTACACACAAGAATTTCCTGAAAAGAGCCTTGATGGTGAATACGAATTCAAGGGTTTGATGTTCGGAAGACCATTTGTAACAAAGGGCATTTGGAATATGACACTCTATGACTATGCGTAAGTTGAAATTGAGTTAAGATTAACTTAAAATGCAGGATTGATGCATGAGTATGCAATTTTCAGTCAAACAACAAGTGTTACTCGGGTTGGAGGACCGGGTGGATTGCTAAAAGTGCGTGTCGAAATTGATAAATTGGGCGATTTAAAGTTGAAAATTTCCGATTTATTTGGCGGACGAAAAGTCATTGGTGAGTATTACAATGAGGAATGAAGAATAATATATCCTCATAAATATGAAAAAACCAATTTTCTATAATAAAAAAAAATATTTTTTTTCTCTTCAAAACAGAAAGCACAGCGGATTTTCTTATAAATAATATGTGGAGACCCGGATTTCCATTTGTTCGACCATTAATCAATGACTTAGTTAGTACAGCATTCACAGATATTTTCAATGAATCATTCAGATATTTTCCAGTAGATGATTACATAAAAGAGTAATCCATTTAGATTTGTATGTATATATTTTGTAAATACTTTGTCAATTTAGAAGCCATTCTTTCATTCATGAACATTTAGAAAATTTTATAAAAATAAATTTCTTAAAAATATTTGAATTAGGTTTTTAGTTACTTTTTGTTATATTAAATTCAATCCAATAAGTGAATTTATTAAAAACAATTTGATTTAACAAAACCAAAACCTATGTATAAACATACGAATGCATGGCGAATATTCGAATATGGGTGTATTGTTTTCGAAAAATACAAACACAATAGAATAAAAAGTAGCAAAAGCAAATTCAATTTTGTACTTATATTCACCACATACACTGGATAAACATGTGAGATTTTCCATTCGAAGGCAGAATAAATCTAGTACATCATTGTAGTAGCAATAAAATTTACGAGATTCGATGGCGACGCAGTATTGAAACGCGCGCGCTTTTATCGTCTTTTTATTCAATCATATGTGAATCAAAAAGTGTGTTAAAGCTATAAGGTATCGTAGTATTTCGCGCGCTTTTTGAATCATATATTCTCCTCAATTGATATAGCCGGTGTGTTTTCGCTACTATACAGCATACTTCGCACTGTTGCACCATCCATGCACTACTATAGTGTTGGTATTCATATGTGATGCGTTTGCGTGTATTGTTTCAGTTATGTTAAATTCCCCTGTGTGTGCATACATCGACTACGTCCAATGACAGTTCGTTGTTGGGCTGAACTCTTTGTATGTATGTAGGGGCCAATACTCTGTTTACATTCGATGACGTTTGTTTGTGCTAGTGCGCTACAATCGAACTGCGTGCGTATGAGAGAGAATGAGAGAGTTTGTTGTTTGTAAGTTTCGTCTCTTTCTTCTTAGCTAGTCAGCTGTCACACATTTTGACATTTGCCAAGCCGTACGATTCAGCCGTTCAGCGCGCGCACACCATCGCACATGTGAAGAGGCAATAACGAGATATATTGAAGAGTCAATGAGAGCTGTTGATCCGAGGAGCATGCGTTTGTATAGGAATAATACATGCTTACACGGAAAATTTTATTGTATAAATATATTCACGAAATATACACAACGATAGCGTATGCCGATAAATGAGAAGTTTGCATAGACCAATACTCATCGCGTGATTCGCACATTTTTCAATATTCAATCGTACACCGAACAGTGAGTACGGATTTTTTTAAACAACACACGCTGTCATATTTCGTTCTTTAAAACGCGCACATTTTTTCACTGTGACACATTTATTTCGATTAAATTATCGAATATTTTTTATTCTTATTGTTGTTGGTTATGTTTTAATAAAAACAAAATCTGTCGGTTGACGTATTTTGCAATCAGTAAACAAGTATGATTTCATTTAATTATATTGGATTGCTTCAGACATAAGAATTTTAACGTGAATTAAAATAAATTGCACGCTCTGTTCAAATAAAATCGAGTTGATTGAACGGAAGGTATAACTTTTTTTTCATCGTGAATTCACGTGAATTGAACATTAATAAAATCATCTTGTTCTTTTTTTTAAAATTTAAATCTAGAATTGTGCCACATATAAAGCAGCAGAGAGACCAACGTATTCAGCTTGACAAGTAGAACACACTGTCAATTGACAATTGAATTAAAATTGTGTTTAATGCAAAACGTGAATTTCATTTTTTTCTCAACTGAAGCTAAAAAAAGAAATTAATCAACTATGGAAATTGAATTCGATATCAATAGTGTAGATAAATTACCAGATTGTAAATACGAGTGTAAGTATTCAACTTTGTTGACAAATTGTGTGATAAGCGTTGACAGTTGACAGTATATTGATGCGTCAAGCCCACGCTTTCGTCATCGAACAAGTGAAATGTTTGTATCATACTCACACGTTAGTTGAATCATGACAAATCTATTCATTTCAAAAATAATTTGAATATGTTTACATTTTGCCTCTTTTAAACAACGAACTGTCGTGTTTATGCATATGAAACGTCAAGATGTTTTTTTCTTCATACATACACCGTCAGAAAATGTCAAACTAATTATTTTATTCTATTGTGCCAAATTGATATAATTTGATTCTTTTTATGCAATTCATTTTTCTCCTTTTTCTTTTTATACGCAGATTTGGATCACACAGCCGATGTTCAGTGAGTTATTTGATTTGCACAATTTTATGTTATTATAAAAAAAAAAAAATGTCAATTACGTTTGAATGTATTTTCTAATTTGATTTTGCATAAATTTGCTCGTAATTGAGTTGAAAATTCATTTTCATGACATTTTTTTCTTGTCTCTTCTTTTTTCGATTCACGCTATCGATGTGTATTGCTGCGGCTATTAATCAATGCTCGTTTCACGCAAATCTGGTTCATCCATCGTGGCCGTCGACGTGGTTTTAAATTTATGCAAAATCAAATCATGACAGATTGCATGCATGGGGTAGCACACTTACAGAAGCATTCGAACAGTGCGGCGTGGCGATGTTTGCATACATGACAGAAATCGAAACGGTCGAACTAAAGCAGTGTTTCAAAATTACTGCGTCTGGTGATGATATCGAATCGCTTCTTTTTCATTTCCTTGATGAGTTGTTGTTTTTGTTTTCGGCCGAACCATTTTTGGTGTGCGCCAAACTGGAAATCAGTAAATTGGATTTGGTTGACTTTGAAATCGATTGCTTATGCTATGGTGAACCATTCCAATTAGGGAAGCATCCGCAAGGCACTGAAGTTAAAGCAATCACCTACTCAGCCATGCAAGTTATACAAAAGCCAACGAAAAATGAAGTCTATGTCATCATCGATATCTGAGCGGCATCACCATCACTTACCACTGTCTCTCGCATCAGTTTGAAAGCAATGATAACGATAATAGCAACAACAAAGTCAGTGCACTTTGAAACTGTTTGTTATTTGTACTTTTGAAAAAAGGTAAATTATGATTTTTAAGCAATATTTAAACATAAAGTTAGACTACTAAGACTAAGTCATTTTAAATATCTGACCAACAATCAGAATGATGCTCGAGATAGAGAAAATATTTTTATATTCAATAAAATATATACTACTCTCGTACAAAACTTTATAAAATATATTATAATCACAACGATAATTGTGAATTATTCAGATAACCATAATCAAAATATCTAATAAAAATGATATAACAACCATAATTTGTAAAATGGCAGTACTCTGCAATTATCAGTACTTCAATTATAATGCGTAGTATTTTGTTTACAACAAAAGAGACAAAAAATCTGAAGAGATTTTGTGTGACACAAACATGAAAACATTGTATTGAAGAGTTGCATTATTTACGAAAATTCCCTTGCCATATGAAAGACCAGCAAAAACAACAGAATCTGCCCTTATGCATATTTACTTACATCTGAATAATTGAATTCCGTGTTGTTCCGGCTTACAGTTAAAAAAAAAAAGCGCTGCATCAATGTTACACATAATAACACGGCAATATATTGCGATCGAACACAGAGAACTGCCGATATAAAGAATGTACAAACTACTAATTAACAAGCTTTTGAACATGAATACCAAACAGAATGAGCCAGACATTAGATTAAGATATTTTCAGTCAGCTGAATCAGTTCAGGCGCTGAAATGGAGTGAAACCAAGAAATGATTGTTATAACGATTGTAAGTGTTTTTATAACCATAACAATCACTTCTGCTATTTTCATTCCATTTCAGCGCCTGACGTTAGCTCCCTGAGCTGAATCAGCTGCCCGAAAATATCTCAATATAATTTGTGAGAATGACTAAAATTATTAATTCGAAAAAGGTAAGTAAGTCTCGTACATACTTAATTCTTTATTTTCAATTTTAGTTATATAAAATGGAAAAATAATATTCTTGAAGCGTATACCAATTATCTAGGGGAAAGTAATGTAAAAAAGTTAAGCATTAATTACGCATGCTGTTATTATTATTTTACTCTTCATCAAGAAATCCGTGTGGAGTAAATGAATGAGACTGAGAACCAGAGAGAAAGAGAGGTGGACAGACAGAGAGAAATTGGTTATTTACATTCAGAGCATATACTGAGCATAGATATATATCCGGGATATTTCGTGAGTATCCGATATTTATCGCAGCCAGACATTATAATGGAGTGAAAACAATAGAAGTGATTGTTATAGGTCTAAGTATAAAACCATTTACATTACTACAATCACTATAACAATAACTTCTATTGTTTTTACTCTATTTCAAAGTCTGGCTCCAATAAATATCGGATACTGACAAAATATCCAGGATATATATCTATGCTTAGTATATGCTCTGTTTACATTCTAAAAGTTGTGATGTTTTTGTGCATAATTGTAAGAAATAAATATATGCGCCACACATCTGTGTTCTATTGACCAGTGCAATACACAACGTTGGACAATTTTTGCAATCCAATTGCAACATGGAAATTTTCTATGAATATTTCAGCATCTTTTTTCATTCTATGCTTGATAATGATGATGGGGCAGTCATACATGCATACTGTGTCTTTTTGTTAATAGCAATTCGGTATGTTTGCGTCGAGTATGTTCTTAACGAAAAGTAAATCGGTCTGGGTGTCATAAAAACTACAATGCTCTATTCTCGCAATCCATATGTTGTATTGTAAAAAACTATTTACAACATTCAGATTCTTATCCTTTTGTTCTTTTTTGTCTGCAACTGTGCATGAAAAACAATCGAAACAAATCTAACGAGCCTCGAACAAACGATTCTGCTTACATTGTGAGATCAATGGAAATAGATAAGACGCTAGAAGAAATGTCTTAACATTTGCCGCTGATGGATACGTACACTACACTCTTGTAGTTTTATCTTCTTTTTTTTTGTTATTTTGTAAGTATGTGTTATGTTATGCGTGACTAATTTGAAGGAGAGTCTTTTTTGGCTCGAGTCACAAATTAAGAGACAGGGAGAGTTAAAATATTATTCGTTGTTGATCAAGTATTTCATCCATATGAATGAATTCATCAAAAATAAAAACGATTTTTTTTAAATCACTTTCGACGATTACACTGTAACTTTTGAAGTAATACAACTTTTAAAATTACCGCTAAAAAAATTCATGTCGATGTTTTCAGATAAAATGCATTTCTTAAAATTAAAATTTGAAAAAGAAATGCATTGATTTAAAAAATAAAATTTAAGAAACGTAATGAAATGAACAATGGATTTGTCTTGTATGTGTAAAATCTACGCTGTAGATTTGGTTTTATGGAGAAAAAAATTCGCCGGTATTTTATAATAATAGTTTAATATTGCAATATCATGTGAAATGATTCACTGTGTTTTACGAAATAGAAATTGAGAATTAAAGAGAGCAAAGCACGTAAATACATCGACATCTGCTGTATATAAAGTAAAACAACAAGAAGCCGATTCGATTGCCGTATGAATGAATGTGAATGAAACTAGGTAACTGTTTTTTCAAAGCACCACCAGGGGGACGGCGGAGTAAGTATAACCAAAATTAATTTAATTTTAAACGAAAATATGAAATTAGATGCTAAAAATTATTTTCCAAAAAGTTTGAATTTTTCAAATTTGTCAGAAAGTAGTCATTTGAAATACGATTGAAATCGGTGCTTCCGTTTGCACGATGAATGAGAAAAACGTATTAGTTTCGCGGGCAATTTAAGTCTTTCGAAATAAAGCCCATTAATTCAATATGAAAAATATTTTTTTATATTTTAATTAATTATTTACTGATAACGATAATAAATGTTCATACAATGATAAATCAATTTAAATTTTTATTTTTATAAATGTCAAACACCTTTGATTTGATATTTGCGTACTTTTTGTTCATGATTCGTGGTTTTTCTTCCGGTTCAGGTTTTTTCACAACTCTGCGATAAATTGGAAAAGTTTTCTTTGTAAAACCTTCATTTAAATTACGGTTGACCATGATGTACTTTTCAACTTCATTTTTCCACTGACGAAAATATCCCCAGCTCAGAATAGTCTTCATGTCTGGCCTTTTTTCTTTCTCATAAGACGGAATGAATTGTTTTTTGCCAGAAAGTGGATTCGATAATTTGAATGAATCCTCAGGCTTGACTGGCGCAGCTCTGTGCCATACACCTTTACGTTTATTACAACTCATAGCTTGTATTTTCAACCAATAATCTCCATCAGATTTTTCAAAAAGCGAATATGAAATAAATTTTTTGTGATTTTCCCTTTGGATTTTATGAAATTGGAAAACAATAAAATTGATTTCAATGTCAATGATTGTTTAGATTATAATGTTCGACAACTAAATTGCGCCGAATCATTTTAAATTTGAGCGCCACTGCCTAATTTATGGATTGTTTATTGATTTTCACCAACGACTGAATCTGAATCTACTACTTCGTTCATACCGTATAGAAATACGAAGTAAACAAAAAAAAATACTTTCGTGTTGACGTATGAATTGCTGGTGTTTTTCTTGTTGTATTGGTGAGAATGACGGCGACAATGCCCATCATACAATGGCATCTCTGCACAGTAAACTTTGATGAACGGTTGTGAGTATGTGCTTATACAAATTATATGCAACACACGCACATACATATACACACATACTCAGTGCCGCCTCAGTGTGTTGTCGATTTTCGGATGAAACCGTTTTTTTTTTCTTTTCGGTTCTCGTTCGATTCTTTACATCGAAAGGTATACATATACATAACATACGGTACACGTTACCGTCAAAGGCAAGCTTCCATATGTGTGTGAAACATAAGAGAGAAATTTACTACTACCGAAACGAATAGGCCATAGTATACAGAATTTGAGTTGCTGTTCATTTGCGTGCAACCATCGTCAGAAAACGTCTTTTTTACTTCTGGGCTGTCGATTCTCTATGAATACGGCGCTGTAGTATAAACCACTACATGATATTCATTAAAAGCCAAACCAAATAAAAGACAGTGTGAGAGAATATTTATTTTTTTTATGTGAAAACAGCACTCAGTTTGAAGAAACTGAAAAAAAATTAACATAAAAATTGACAGTGTTTATCTCTTCGACAAAAATATATAGAGTGAATTTTATTTGACTCCAAAGCATAAACGTGCATTCGATCGTATATATGTATATATATTTTTGTATGCCGAGCAACTATGTAAAAGAGTTACGAGAGAGATATATATATTATTGGTATATGTGTGTCGAAAAGCGATAGACTTGCTAACTATTGGTTTTTTTGTGTCTGTGGAAATTTAATCAAAAAATTTTTTTTTTTGGTAAAATCAAAGTAGAAACAACAATTTAAATTTCATCGTTTTAATGAAAATTTGCAAACTGAAGAGATATAAAGCGCGACGCCAATCCAACTCATCTCTTTTTTTCGTGTGTCAATTGCAGCTGTGTGTGACCCGTGTGTGAGCCTCTTATTTCGTTCGCGCTGTGTGTCTGACGACGATCTAAAACCTCAATTACACTGCGTATGTATAAAATGCGGCGGACATTTTTCACTATACAGCATTTTTCATCATCAATTCAAATCTCGCCGATTTGATTCCAGTTCTTTATCTGTCTATCGATCTTGGGACAAACAGTACAATATTAAATTCAACCATAAAGACATTTGTTCGTATTTGAACAATACCCGAACGAAAAAGCAACACAAAAATATATTCAGATAATGAATCAATGATAAAAAATTTAAACGTGAACTTATTTGGATTTGGTGTGTTTGATTGACAATTCGCAGAGAGAAATAAACGTTCACATGTTCAAAAAAATAAAATTAAAGAGCAGTGAGGTATAGAGAGAGAGAGACAGAGATAGAGAGAATAAAGTAGTTTGTCGGCGATAAGCATTATAGCAAGCAAAAAAGAAATTTAATGACAGTTTTTCAGCAATGAAATCATAATCAAAGTGCAGTCTTTGAATGCATGTAATGTGTTGGCGAAGGAGGAAATTTTAAAGCAAAATCAACAAAAAAAACGCACATTTTTTTCATTCAACTCTATACTGAGTCGGTAAGTGATCTCTATCATTAAAGTGTAACTAGTTATTCGTTTTTTTTTTATTTTGTACATCAAAATTGCTAATCTAAAATCGAGAATACATTAACGAACATCATGGATACGGGACCTTTAAATCGTTTCGTCCAGTTCGGATGTTGTCTTTTTTCTTCACGTTGCTTCTTCTTTTT